ACAAGCGACAACAAGCCAAAACAACAAAAACCGTCCTGGGAACGAGCCGAGGGGGCCGAGCAACCGAGGGGCGGCCGACGAGCCTGGGGCCAGTGCAACCGACGGACAAGCGAAAACAAGCCAACGCAACCAACGCCAGCCAAGGAACAGGCCATCCGAGGTGCCGAGCGACCGATGGGGCGGCCGACGAGCCTGGGGCGACCAATGTAAACGATGGACAAGCGAAAACAAGCCAAAACAACCAACACCAGCCTGGGAACGGGCCAGCCGAGGGGCCGAGCGACCGAGGGGCGGCCGGCGAGCCTGGGGCGACCAGCGCAACCGATGGACAAACGAAAACAAACCAACATAACCAAACCCACCCTGGCGACCGAATGGCGGCCGACGAGCCTGGGGTGGCCGCAACCGATGGACAAGCGAAAACAAGCCAAAACAACCAATGCCAGTCTGGGCACGGGCCAGCCGAGGGGCCAAGCGACAGAGGGGCGGCCGACGAGCCTGTGGCGACCAGCGCAACCGATGGACAAGCGAAAACAAGTTTAAACAACCAATGCCAGCCTGGGAACAGGCCGGCCGATGGGGCCGAGCAACCGAGGGGCGGCCGACGAGCCTGGGGCGACCATTGCAAAGGATGGGCAAGCGAAGACAAGCCAACACAACCAACACCAGCCAGGGAACGGGCCAGCCGATGGGGCCGAGTGACCGATGGGGCGGCCGACGAGCCTGGGGCGACCAGTGCCACTGATGGACAAACGAAAACAAGCCCAAACAACCAAAACCAGCCTGGGCACGGGCCACCCGAGGGGCGGAGCGACCGAGGGGAGGCCGACGAGCCCGGGGCAACCGATGGACAAGCAAAAAAACAAGCCCAAACAACCCAAACCGACCAGACATGCCAAAACAACCGACGGACAAACGAAAACCACCATAAGCAATCAACGTCACCCAGGGAAGTAACAACCAAGTCCTAGGAGTAGATTAGGTTTGCGCCCGCCCCCAAAAAACATCCAAACATAGCCGTTCTTGAAATAGGAAGGCGCGTAAAGTATATTGGGACCTTGGAACTTTCAACGACCGGTGGGTAGCTGTCCAGCTGGGGCTTTGGGTGCCGTTGCGGTTTGTTGCGGGTGCCTGCTGCCTCATATGTGTTGCCTGGTTGCGGGTGCCGCCGCCGCAGGCCAAACTGTGCTACCCAGTTACGGTTGCGGGTGTTGTTGCGGGCGCCCGCGGCCCAGTGGATGCGGTGTCGGGTGCCCGCGGCGCAACATGTGTTGCCCAGCTGCGGTCACGGTTGCGGGTGTGGCGGACGCCTGCGCCTCAAAACATGTTCCCAAGCTGCGGTCAGGGGTGCGGTGGCCTGCGGCCCAAAAAATTGTTGCCCTGATACGGTTGCGGGCGCCCACGGTCCCCAAAAAGCTGCCCTGTCGAAGTTGCGGGCGCCCGCAGCAGAACACATGTTGACCACGTGTGGCTGCGAGTGCGGTTGCGGGCGCCTGCGGGCCAAAACATGTTGCCCAGATGCGAGTGCAGTTGCGGGCGAGCTTGTTCCCCGAGGTGCCCCATGAAGACAGTCAGTCAATGAGTCAGTCTGGTGGGCACGGAACTTCCAGCAACAAAAATGAGAAGGACAATTATCGTGTTGGGAGCAAGGGGTAGGGAGAATGCAGGGTATGAGCACAAGCGTCCAGATGCAATGAACGATACCTTCGGCCGCCTGCGTGTTGCGAAAGGGAAACGTGTTGTCACCGCAGCGCATGGGTCGCCAATCCAACACCGCGCAAACTTCCTTAGAAGCGGGTTGTACCCTGCAGCCTGCTTCGTGGTCCTCTCGGGGCCATCTTGGACCCCTGGAAACTTCCCAGGACGTACGTTGCACTCTGCAGCCGACTCCGTGGCCCTCTCGGGGCCCTCTTGGAGCCCTGCCGGGGCCTTCGGTGGGGCCGTCCAAGAGCCCTCTTGCGTGTGTTCTCGGCACTCTCAGGGCCACTTTGGACCATCTCAGGCGTTGACGCGACGCGGCGAACACTGGAGGTGGACCAAGGGCATGAGCAATGCCGCGGGCTTCTGGCAATTGCCCAGTAAATGATGAATTCCGCATCGGCTTCCGTATTGCGATCCGTTGCTGATGAGGAATTTACAAGTGAATTGCTTCGTGCTCATACATTTTTTGGGAGGTCGCGGGGCCGCAGCAAATTCCGTACTGCGTTCCGTTCCTGATACGGAAGTAATAGAAGATTCCGTATTGCGCTCCGATCGCGATACGGAATCATTGCTGCGTTGGTCCGCTTCCGTTCTGCATGGGTTGCGCCATGACTTCTGCATGAGTCGTTGGCACCAGCGCTGCAGCATCGCTGCATCATCGGGCCCGTAATTCCAAACTGTAGGGGCCCAGCCAGTGACGCGCAGAGCCGGGCTCTTCAGGAGGAACAGCTGACGATAAAGGAGAGACGCGTGAATGCGATGAGTGGGAACATCGTTCCCAGTGGTATGAAAGCGAAGATCCAACCCAAGCTCAAGCAGAAGTACCAGCGCAATCGGCAGGCAATTTAAGCTGCAAGGGGGTTGGAGGATGCGTCGGCCAATGTCCGTGCACATGCCAGTCTCATAAGCCCGTTCTGCATACAAGGGAATTGCCTTGCCTTTCTGGAAAACAGGATAACCGCAAGAAGCTATCAAGACCCCCCTCCCCCGGCGTCGTCCGCAGTACATGCATTAGACAAAACAAATCCCGAGGGGGGGGAACCGCCGAGCGATGTTGCCCGGCACCCTGGATGGAGAGGTCATTTTCCGCGGGGGGTGGGCGGGTGAGTGGATTGGAGTGAGAGGGGCGCAGGAGGAATCCTCATGATGTCCGCATCAGGGAAGGGCCCGGAGTGGATTATCATCGAAGCCACCCAAGCCTTCCAAGGAGGACCATCGAAACCATCGAGCCTAGTCGACGACTGTGGGAAGTGCTGCGCGAGCCCGCCGCAGTCGACGACGACGCCGCCGACGACGACGGCGCGCTGCGGATGCTCCAAGCATGGGTGGAGGGGGGGGTGCTCCGTGGGCCCACCGCCGTCGACGAAGCCGCCGCCGACGACGCAGACGACGACGATGTGCTGCGGATGCCCCAGGGGAAGGGGGGGGGGGGGTATGTGCTGCATGGGCCAGCTGTAGCCGACGACAGCGACGACGAGACGACGAGGCGAGAGAGAGAGAGAGACTGACATATAGAATGAGAGAGAGAGAGAAAACAAAAAAAAACACAGTGAGAGAGAGAGAGAGAAGTATAAGGGAACGGAAACAGAGAAATGTAGAAAGAGAGAACGCGAGGGGCGTCTGCATTGATTTAGAATCCGTATCAGACCCTGTAGATCGAGAGTAGAACACGCCAGAGAATATCACCCGCCCGCACTGGCCGCATTGCTGTAGTTAGCACAATCACTTCGAGAACATAATTCTCGCGGGGGGCGGGGGGGGGCACCAAGGGATATAAGGAATCCGATTGACATTGCGATGAGATCTGGCGGAGATCCTATTGGAGTCCGATTGGTTCTGATTGGAATCCATTTGGAATACTAAAGAAGACTATTCGAATCCAACTGGGATCTTCTTAGCATCCTGTTGGAACTCCTATTGGAATCTGTTTGGCATCCTTGTGGAATCCGATTGAAAACCTGCTGGAACCTGATTGGGATCTGGCATCCTTGTGGAATCCGATTGAAAACCTGCTGGAACCTGATTGGGATCTACCGGTAATCCTATAATCCTATTAGAACCGTGAATCCGACTGGATGGAATCCGATCGGAGTCGGATCGGGATCTCATTGGAATCCGATTGGAGTCCAATTGGAATCGTGCTGGACTCCAGATTCGAATCCTACTCCAGATTGGGATCCTATTGGAATCTGATTCAGATCTCATTGGAATCCTACTGGGACGCTGAAAGGTCCGATTGAAATCCAATCGGAACCCTAGTGGAATCCCATTGGGATTCGATTGGAGTGTGGAAATCCTGTTGGATTCTTTTCGGATCCTACTGGATCCCTTCGGAATCCTGTGGGGCCTGAGGGGTCGGGGTGCGGAGAACTTCCAGGGGGCAACAAGTGGTACGTTTCGCCGAAACGGGTGTGTGGGGGTCCCGGTCCAGCCCATCTTGCGATTCAGAGACCTCCGACGTCGTGTATTTTTTCGCGGCGTGGGCCCTTGTTTTTTTCGCGGCGTGGGCTCCTGGAGCTCTGGCCCTGTCATTGATTCATGTCCGCCTTTTGACGGCCCGTGGTGTCTGAAGCGGGCTTCCGGAAGCCTAGACTCAAAACACGCTCTGCTTTTGCGGTGCACGAGGGCGGTCCGGCGGTAGGTTTGCTTACCGGCCCCCGTTGTTTCGATTACGTTGGTGGCACCATCCCTGACGTTGTCGCGTGAGAAAAGCAAGCTTTGAAAGAACCAGCCGTCGTGATCTTGTCTCGAGTCGTTGGAGGTATGCGTGCTCTGCCAAGGAGCCTGCCGCTCCGTGCTCGCTGTCGCCCACCCCAGCACTCTTACCGCCTGGCCCAAGGCGCACGCGCAGCCCCCCAAACCAGCAACGCTCCCCCATGCCTGCCCCTTTCACCCTCGTCTTCCTCCTCCTCCTCCTCCTCCTCCTTCTCCTCCACCTCCTGCTCCTCCTCATCCGCACCATCATCTCCAGTTCGGCTGCGCAGCCTGCTAACCCCACCAGCAAGCAGAACGAATGAGGAGGAATAAGGGGCTTCTGCGGGGCGGATGCGGGGAGAGCTGGAAGACGTGGAGGACGAAGGACGAGGAGGAGAGGGAGGAGGGAATGAGGAGGGAATGAGGAGGGGGCGGAGGAGTAGGAGGCAGCAGGAGGAGGCAGCGCGCGTGGCCTCGCCGAGCGACGTCGACGAACGGCCCGACGAGCGACCCGACGCACCGCCCCACGACCAGCCGGCGACCCGCCCGACAGGCCGGCGACGGCGACGGGCCGCCGAGCGGCGGCGGCATGCCGCAGCGGGCGCCTGGCCGCCGAGGCCGCGCCGGGCCGCTGCCCGGGCGTGGTGCTCCTCGGCGCGGCGCGCGCGGGCGCCCGGCGCCACCGGTCTGTTGGGGGACCCATTAAAGGAGGTCCAGCGACGAGCCCAGACATCTGGCGTCTCGACCAAATCGAGGCGGAGGTTTCTCCGCGGTTTCGGCCCCTCGGGGCGCGTAGCGGGCCTCGGGAGCGTCAGAAAACGACTCGGGGTGGAAAGCCGGTCCCGGGGAAGTGGTCCAGAGGTCGGGAGCCTGCGTCTCGAAAAAATCGAGACGCTGGATGTCTGGGAGGGGGTGGTGCAACAGATGTGGTGCACAAGATTTGTGGGGTTGCAGTGAATTTGGGGCGTGCAATACATTCCGAGGCGCAGATGTATTGCTGGGGCTTTCTCGCGTGCAACACATTAGTGGCAATACATTGCGATTGCATTCTCTGGCGCAAGACATGTGTAATATAATTGCCCCAAAGCTATTGCACCACCCCCTTTCAGCTGGACCCCCTTGTGGGTCAACCAGAACTGGGCGCACCGAAGATCGACGGCCGGCACGGGCGACCCTACAGATAGTCAAGAGCCTGAGATCCTGGCGACGCCATTTTTTCGAGCTGGGCGTCTTCGCTCCATCTTGCGGGCCCCGAGGGCCCTCCCAAATCGACCAGGCTCGAAAAGTGAGGCATAAAAAGGTGGGGCCCGGGGGTTCGGTCGTGATTTCTTGCGACGCTGCATTTTTTCTGCAAAGTCGGATCTCAGGGGAATCGCCTCCTTTCGTGCGCGGGTTGAGGGGGCGCAACGTGGCCACGTCCAAGACGCCGCCAAGGAGCCCCAAGAGACGCCCAAGAGGTCCCCAAGAGGCCCCCAAGAGGCCCTAAAGAGGGCTCCAGGGCCAGCGGAATGAGCGAAGCGATTAAATAAGGATGCGCGGTAAGGATGCAGGGGCCTTGGAGCGCTATGTTGAGGCTTTCCGCGCGGGGCGCGGCCGAATTCCGAAGGATGCAAGGGTACCCTGACGCGCCGCCGTCCTTGCCGAACTGGCGCCTGGGCCGCAAGCAAGGACAACGCAAGGATGCAAGGGTACCCTGGCCAAGTTGCCCCTATTCTTACTATCATGGTTGACTGTACTTCTTCAGCAGCCAGCAGTGCGCGAAGCACCAGGTACCAAGGCCGATTTTCAAGGACTGGTCAGTCTCGTGGAGGGACTCCGTGCCGAGAAAATGAAGCCAGCAGCAGCAGCAGTAGCAGAGTTCGTCAAGCATTGGCGGGCCAAGTCTACTTTTCAGAGAAGAGGGGGGGATGTCAAAGTCAGGCATTTGTTCTGCATTCACGCGTTCGCGCCGATCGAAGACCCCCACATGATGATAGTGTCAGCCAACCTCCGAATCACCAGATGTATGCAGAAGTTGGACTCCGAGGTCAAAAAAAACCCACCGCCCCGAGGTGGGCCCGAGAGCAAACTCAAGAACTCGTTGCAGAACATGAAAGACAACAACACACAAGCGCTGGTGAGTAGTGAGCCTGGTGCGAGGTACAGCAGTCGCAGCGACCAGCAGCCTAGCCTTGCAAATACTCTGGATACCGGGGGACCCAGGCGGTGTGCTTCTGAGCGGGGCCGAATCAAGTTTTCTGGCCCTTGGACGCTCCCTGAAACTAGTGCAAAACGTTGGCCCGGTAAGGGGCACGGTACAAGTCGAGGCAGAGCTCAGACCTAAGAGCTGAGGCCTCTCTTGACTCTGTGACGTGTCTTTCCTTCCTCCGCCTTCCTATTCCCCTCTCCTCGATGTCCTCGTGGTGTGTGTGTGTGTATGCGTGCGTGCATGCGTGCGTGCGTGTGTGCTACGTCGATGTTGTGTTTGACTATCCAGGCGTTCCCTTCTTTCTGCTTTCGCCGAAACCCGATTACACCAATATGTCCAGAATGTCTCAAGGCAACCGTTCTTGTCAACTTACCGAGGGGTTGTCAACTTACCGGGGGTCCTTGTCAATGACTGACCCTGGGGTGTCCTCCAAGACGTGGTACAGGTCGGCAGGGTATTTGCGGAAACTGGAATATCCATGCTCCTGCTGCTGCGAAGGTGTGTGTGTGTGTGTGTGTGAGTGTGTTCCTCCCAACCGGTAAACTCAATAACATAATACTCAAATGCGCACGCGTGCCGGCTCTGTGAGGCCAGGCTGGCGGGGAAGACTCTCCAATACCGAATGTGGATATAGCTGACATGTGTTTTTACTCGATTTGGTCCCCCCCGCCTGGCCGTCTCCAGGCAGAGATCAGAAAGAGCTCCCCCTAGGCCTTGGGACACTAGGAGGGGGCTTACGAAGCGCCCCGCCCTCACCACCGGGTGCTCCTCTTGAGCCCGTACGCGACGGACATTACAGCAATGAGTGTGATTGCAATCAGAGGTCGACTGCCTAGGAGGACTAAACACCTGATGAGCAACAGTGCTGCGCACATGACCGTTATGAACACTAGGCGTAGAGTGTTGCAGCACAGACTGAAAACATGATCAGCGATATCTAACTGGGGATGGTACGGTGAGAACGAGAAGAGGGAGGGAGGGAGGGAGGGAAATAGAGGGCAGCTGAAACTTCAACTGCCAAGTGTGTGTGTGTGTGTGTGTCCTCGTGTTCCCGTTTTCCTTCTCCTCTCGCTCTCCTCCGTCCTTGTGTGTGTGCGCGAGCTGAGATGCCTGTCTTCTCACTCCTCGGACCTGGTGCCATCGTGCAATGTTCGGGACGATGTCGTTAGACCTCTCGACGCTAACGTTGTCCTTGGTGTTCCCTGATTGGAAAACCAATCGTGACGGGAGTGCCGACTTTCACGTTTCCCTAGGGTTTCTTTCCTCCGCTGGTGCGCACGGCGGTCTCTTTGTGATCAGGTAACAGATGTAGCCCTGACCAGAAGCCGAGTACCACCAACACCACCTCCCTCCTCCTCATCCTCCTCCTCCTCCTCCGCCTCCTCCTCCTCCTCCTCCGCCTCCTCCCTCCTGCCCTCCCTCACTGGGGAAACAAAAAAGGTACCGGTAGGTTACCGCTACTCCTGGGACCTCTCCCGGGGCGCGTTCTGACCAGGATTTCGAAGCGAATCCAGCGGTGGCGACGAGGGCCTCCCAGGAGGCCCAAAAAGAGGAAAGCGAGGGGAGGGTAGAGGTATGGAAACCCTTTCCTCCTGTGACTCTCTCCCTCCTTACCTCCCCCCCTCGCTCCTGTGAGACGCGCTCTTGCCGCGCGGCACCTGCTGCGCGGCGGGGGAGGCCGGCGCCGCGCCGTCGCGGGTGCGGAGCTCGCGAGGCGTTGTGCTCCTCGCGCCGCCGCCGCCGCCGTCGTCGTCGCCGTCGTCGGAGAAAGAGGAGGGGGAGGAGGAGGAGGAGGAGGAGGAGGAGGAGGAGGAGGAGGAGGAGGAGGAGGAGGAGGAGGAGGAGGAGAGAGGAGGAGGAGGAGGAGGAGGAGGAGGAGGAGGAGGGAGGGGAGGAGGAGGAGGAGGAGGAGGAGGAGGAGGAAGAAATGGTTCGTCGATTTCGGCCTCTGCGGGCCCGTTTCAGGCTTCGGGGCCGTCAGAAATCGATCCGGGTCGCGAAACTGCCCAGGACTGACCGCGGGAGGGGTCTCTGGACCGATTTGAACGGATTTGGGGTCGTCGTCGTCGTCGTTGTCGTCGTCCCCATCGCTGTCGACGTCCTTTTCGACATCTTCGGTGGTCTCCGAGGGCTTGGGGTAGGGAGGGGGGTGAGGTGGAGGAGGAACTGGCGGATGATGAGGTTGTCTGGAAAGCACGCTGATAAGGATCGAGCTAGCAGGTCGCATGGTGAGGATGCTCGGAATCAGCAGGTGCTTCTCGTTTTGCTGGCTTGACGTTGTTGCCTAATACATGGCCGTCGATGGCAGACCGAACAAAATAGGAGAAGAAAAAAGAGGAGGAGGAGGAGGAGGAGGAGGAGGAGGAAGAGACGCAGCAGGAGGAGGAAGAGGAGAATCACGGCGCACCCTCGACCTCTTCTTCCCCGTTTTCTTTATGTGGCTGATCCCCACTTCCTTTCCTCCTTTCCCACTCCTCCTCCTCCTCCTCCTCCTCCCCCTCCTCCTCCTCCTCCTCCTCCTCCAGATCAACATCAGTGGGACTAGCCACTAGCCAACATAATTGTGCTCGACAACACCATCATTGCCATAACCATGAGCATCATAATCGTTGATTATTCGGGCGGGGGGCGGGGGGCGGGGCTGGCACCCAGACCAATCTCAGTCCGCGCTGACTTAACATGGTAAGTGTGCGGAGGCCACACGAGACTCGCCTTCACAGCTTCCAGGTCGCCCCGTAACTCGTAACAAACTGGCGGGAACTACATATCGCAATGACGCGTTACGCTTGGGATCGAGTTTCTGTAGCAAGCGCCGCAATCGATCGCGGCTTGCCCGAGAGGCCGTTTGGCGCGAACGCTGGCGTAACACGCGTAAGACATGCGTCGAATACTGCCACCCGAACAAAGCATCAAAATGGAAGGGCCAGCTTTCAATCGCACTGTGCAACGTGACGTATGCGATGATGATGGTGATGATGATGATGATGCTGCTGCTGCTGATGATGATGATGATGATGATGATAATGATGATCAGGATGTTGGTGATGATGATGATGATGATGATGCTGATGATGATGATACTCTGCCTGTACGAATGGTCTGGGATGACACCCAAGCAGGATGACAACATCCGTGGAACAAAAGATGAGAAAAACAACAAAGCGGTCGGGGCCTGGAAACGGATACTCACAGGGCGCAGCTTCGTAGCCTCCTTGTCAGCCAGGTTGGCTAGAGGTCATACCACTGCTCGGCGTTGAGTGCACGCTCCTGATACTCGAATCCTAGGGTGGATTTGAACTGGTCCTCCCATCTCCAAGGTGTGAAATCGTAATCATGACGCTAGGAAATGAATTTACGAAACTTTCAAGGACAAACGAGACTGCTTGTGATGGGAAAATCTGACACTGTAGCCACACCCGTCAACAACACGTTTCGAACATACTATATCCCAGTGTATCAGGCCTAACGCATCTAGATACAATGCTTTCGGACGACTGATGTACGCCAAGTGGCCCCGTATGAAATCCTTCTCCCAATCCTGGAATCATTTCTAATCCTCCTCATCCTCCTTCTTCGGGTCCTTAGCCACATCTGGGTTCTCATTGCCATTCTTCATGTCATTGTGCGTCTTCGTCGAACGGTGGGCGGAAGTCGTTGGGGGGGGGGCGGAGCCACCTTCCGTCGAATGATCCGTTTTCCCATCGTAACCTGATGGTCGCATACCTTCTGAAGGCTGTCCTTGGTGAGGGGGAGGGTGCCGATATTGTAAGTGAGGGCGGGGGAGACGCACTTGTGCAATGATGTCAGACGTTTCGAGATCGCGCCTACCAGACATATCAACAACCGTGTATGTTTAATAACATCGCCCCATCACGTACTGGTCCGCCGGTAAACCTCGATGGACGTTAGTGTCGAAGGTGATCTGATGACCCAGCACTTTGATGCCCAGCGCCCTCGGGGTAGCCGGACATTAGGAAGGCGTCAGCTTGGGAGGTTCGGCTTTCCTGGCTCGCTTCGCTGGCTTCGGATGCGCCGCTGGAGCATGTGGCTCGGGCTGGCTCCACACATCGTGATAGTCACCTGTGGGGTCTGGTCGACCGTTGAAATCCACTGCGCGTCCTGTAGATCGACCCACCGGGCGTCTGTCATGAGCGTGGCCACCGACGGTGAAACATCTGGCAGCCAAAAGCTAGCGGCAGCGACCAGCACTGGGAGCCTCGGGATTCACTGGCCGAAGGGATCGGCTTGGTCTCTGGGTGGCTCCAGGGTCTGGACAAACGCCAAAGAAGATACTCCGGATTCCATAATACAGTAGGGGGGGTTACATTTGGCGGGGGGTCTGATTTGATCTGTCTTGAAGGGTTAGGGGGGGTCTTGGGCAAAGTGCCGCCCTTTCATGGATGGTCTGGGGGGGTCTAAAACTTGTGGTCTGGGAGGATTGTGACCCCCTCCCTTTTATTACGAAATCTGGAGTAGCATCGCACCACGAGCCCGACGCCTCCTGGGTGCTCGGCCCTCAGACCTTCCTCGACCCTCTCTCGGTGGAGGCGGGAGAGGAGCACGAGGCTTCGGGGGACCTCCTGTGGCGCCTTCCGTCACGACGGGGTAAGGCTTTTAGGTCGGGCACGTCCCCATTCGGGGGGGGGCTAGGGCGAACACTCAAACATAGCCAAAAAAATGCTCGAATATTCAAAAGAAAATAATCGAAACATCGCCCCCAGATGATATTTTTGAACTAGTTTCGCACATGCCTCCTGTGGAGGGACGGGCCCGACTTAAACAGTGAGGCCCTGGGCAGCGCGGCGCGGCCGTCCTGCGCAGCTGGGACCGGCCCTCCCAGGCGGCCTTCGGCGCCGGCGCCGCGGGGCCCTGGGCCTCGGCGCCGCGGGCACCGGCGTGGGGCGTGCGCTCCGCCCTCCTGCTGCTGCCTCCTGCTCCTCCCCCTGCTCCTCCAGCTCCCTCCTCCCTCCTCCTCTCTCCTTCCTGCTCCCTCCTCCTCCTCCTCCTCCTCCTCCTCCTCCTCCTCCTCCTCCTCCCTCCTGCTCCTCCTCCCTCCTCCCTGCTCCTCCTGGTCCAGCTGGTCCCTGTTGCTCCTGCGGCTGCTGCTCCTCCTGCTGCTGTTGCTCTTCCTCTCTCCTCCCTCCTCCTGCCCGCTCCTGCTCCTTCCGCCTGCTGCCGGTTGGTGCTGCTGCTGCTGCTGCTGCTGCCCCCAACATCTGTTATCTCTCTATATTCCTCTTCTTCTCCTTTTCCTTCTCCTCTCCTCTCCTCTCCTCTCCTCTCCTCTCCATCCCTTTCACCAGACATAACTCCTCTCTTTCCCGAACCCCAAACGTGTCGGTAGGGCGGGCTGGGAGCTTCGCCTGAGACTACCTCACCGCTTCCGTCCCTGAAGTTTGAAATTCGTCCCAGTTGCGCGGATGGGGCTCAGGTGGTTTTGAAAATGAGCTCTCGCCTTAATGCCGCGCGCACTCGTCTTACATACCTGTAACAGCCCCAGAGATGGATCACAGGTGGCTTTCAAACTGGGGCTCTCGCCGTAGCGCCGCGCTTACAGCAACTTGTTACACTGAAAAGAAAGGATGGAGCATAGGCCGTTTCCCAAATAGGGCTCTCGCCTTGGCGCCAGGCGCATTCGTCTCCAAAGTAAAACAGCTGAGGGCGGTTCCTTTTCAAAATTGGGCTCTCGCCGCAGAGCCGCGCGCATTCTTCTTCGATCGTTACGACAGATACAAGGATGGGCGACGGCTCCTTTTCAACATGGGGCTCTCGTTTGATACTCCAACCAGGATGCATCAAACCACCGAGAAACGCCAAACACGTCAAACTCAGGAAAGCTAACACGCCACCGCCGTCAAAACCAGGTACGGTTCCGGCGGATACTCCTCAACGCGCAACAGCCAGCAGCTTCAACCTGCGCCGCAGCTGCGCGGACGAAGGGCGGCTCCCTTTCTTGTGCGGCAGCTGTACGCATGGGGGGCGGGCCTTGTTCAAAGCGGGGATATCGCTGGGCACCTCGATGAACTGAGTGGTCATACAGTCATACTTCTGTGCGTTCCTGATGAGGGGAGGTGAAGGAGGGAGCAGCGAGGCAGCAGTAGTAGTGGTGCAGGATGGGGAAGATGGATGACAAGGGGGACGGAGATATTGATGACGTACTATTTCTCCCACCACTCCACCACTTCCCGTGCAGTGCATAGCGACATGGGGGGCTCGGTGCTCATGGGAAATGGCACCCCTAGTCACAGTGCTCCAAGGGCCGCTCCCATCTGATCACGCGCCAGACGGATGCAAGGCCCTTCCCTTTCAAAGCGAGGCTCAGCCTGAATGGCAGGCCCACGCCGTGCTGGTCTTTCAAGGTTCAAGGGAGGCGCTTCCTGCAGTGCCAAAGCAGGCCCACGGGCTTTGCGAGGAGGGAGCTCTTGGGACGGGAGGGGTTCGGCAGCACCGCTGACGCACCTTGGGCCTGCTCTGGTCTCGCTCGCTCTCGCTCTCGGCCTTGGGGTGTCGTGCAGACGCGGCCACCTTTACTCTGGTCTCCTTCTCTTCCTCCTGCTGCTGCTCCTCCTCCCCCTCCTCCTCTTGCTGCTGCCCCCGCTGCTGCCGGAAGCCTCCACTGGCCTGCCACGCAGGCCTCCCACGGGGCCATCCCGCAGCTCCGCATTTTCTCCACGACGCGAGGATGTCTGATTCCCGGGTCATCCATGACTCAAAAGCTCCGG